ATGACATCATTGCTCAGTTACAGTAAAATCATCACTTTACAAATTTCCAAAACATGATTATCCAGAAAGTGTTTGGTAAAACCACAGAGGGCTATTAAAGCCACTTGGTCAGAGTAAAATGTCAGAATCTGGTGTGACCACCATGAGCATCGATAACAGTTTGGCAGCGGTGACCAATTGAAGAAAGGAGATGCCGAATGCTGTCTTGAGGAATATTTTCATACTCTTGCTGAAGTGCTGTGTGCAGTTCTTGTAGTGTCTGAGGTGGCGGATTATCCCATAGAGGTGAGGTGAGGTAAATTGGGTTTAACATCGTGCTTGAGAATATTTCGCTCATATGACGACATGCATGCATGTGTATGTGCGGCTGCTTGTACTAGCCCAGACTGAAGCTGGTTTTATAGTGCTACCCACTGAGATACCATGCCGCAGTGAAGCATGAATACCCAACTCAGACACATTATACTGACTCCGAGCCGACCAGTCCTTGTTGTACCCATTAATGCCGAGCGCCAGTCAGGGACCAACAAGTACCATATTTTAACGTCTTTTGGTATGACGCGGTCGGGGATCGAACCCGCTACCTTCCGCTCTCCGGGTGAACGCTCTAACCACTACACCACGGAGGCGGTCGTATCCCATAGATGTTCAATGGGGGACAAATCCGGTGATCAAGAAGGCCAAGGTCACTTAAACAACTGAACATTGCTGGAGGGAGACCTGTCAAACACGTGCAACGTGAGGTCAAGCATTGTCATGCTCCAAAGATCAACCGTTGACGTTGATGTAGGGAACGACGTGATGTTGAATTGGTCTTCTGGCAAAAGTCTGGCTTTCCATAGCCAATTGCGCACTGTCTGGTCGGAGATTCGGCACAGTCCAGGGATTTGGATTGTTGTGGATGATACGGCCGTGGTGTTTGAACGAAAATGTCTCAACTGGATGTGGCGATCCTGACATCTCTGACATCGTTTGGTTGCTTGGGGAACAGTTCTAGCTGGAAGCCTCAGAGGGCTCTTTCTGTTGTGGGGCGGTGGGGTAGCCTAGTGGTTAAAGTCTTGACTTGTAACGCCGAAGACCCGGGTTCGATTCCCCACATGGGTACAATGTGTGAAGCCCATTTCTGGTGTCCCCCGACGTGATATTGCTGGAATATTGCTAAAAGTGGCATAAAGACATACTCACTCACTCTTTCTGTTGAGTCAAATCCACAATGTTTCCATACAAACCACAGAAATGTGTTTCATGTTGGCTGACATAACCATTTGATCCTATTGTGAGCGAGTGAGTTTAGTTTTACGCTGCACTCAGCAATATTCCAGCTATATAGTGGCGGTCTGTAAGTAATCAAGTCTGGACCACACAATCCAGTGATCAACAGCATGAGCATCAATCTGCGCAATTGGGAACCGATGACATGTGGCAACCAAGTCAACGAACCTGACCCCCCGATCCCGTTAGTCGCCTCTTACGACAAGCATGGGTTGCTGAAGACCTATTCTACCCAGAATCTTCACGGGTATCTTCCTATTGTGTGCTCAAAGTAAGTGTGCAGAGGTGAAGGCTACTTCAATGTATTCAAGTCTAATTGTGAGGAGTTTTGACATACCTGTGATATACATAAGGCTTATATGATGCTTATACAACATAAACAGCAATTATTTGTACAGCCTGAGATAAAAGCTATCTTATGTCTAGTGAAAAAATGGCCTTGGGGAAACAAATAACTTTTCCATACACATATATATAAAAAAGTGACAAAACCCTTTCTATTATCATAAGAAACATTTTCTAAAATGTACAATATCATGAGCTTGTGTGTAGGAATCACTCTCTCACAGCGATGATATGAGGTGTAAAAAAACAAACCAGTGGCTCCCATCACAAACACATGCAAAGGCATATCAATTGAACTGGAAAAACAAGGGAAGATAGGGCACATATCAACATCAGGAACCGTTCCTTACATCAGTTTGGTCTCCAAATATCCTCTGTAAGTCCACCTTGAAACATTTGAAAGCTTTACTAAGGCCTTGAATGTTGTAAATCTGATCAAAGAACATTTTCAGCAAAAAGGTTCCCCAGGAATATAAAATTGTTAATCATCTAATAATTATTCTTTCCTCTGAATCTATAGATTCCATATACCTGTTTTGACACTATTCTGGCTCTGCTCCATATATAGCGGGAGTGGAAATCTACCACCACCTTCAATCAAGCCAACACTTGGTCTGCCGGCTGGTATAATTTCCTTTACCTTCCTGGTCAAACCAGCAGAGTCTTTGAAAGGACCAGAGGTAGTTGATTATGACTTTCATTGTCTGTCACCCACACATGGAACAGGTTACATCGGAGGCAGGCTTATAAACAACTTTGTAAACTTGTATCATATTGTATTTATCAAAATAACATGTGAAGTGTTGCTGGAGTAAGTCGGGGCTGGAGGTTTCACCAAGTTTTCCATTTGGCGACCACATTGCTGGGCCGAGAGAAAGCACCTGAGTCAATCAGAGGCACTAACACAGAACACATTCGGAAACTCACTATAAAAAGTTAAACATTCGCATAAATAAATTTCCAGCCAATCAATAACAGGTGACAGCGTCTTGACTCCAGCTTGCCGACAACACCGACACTTCTAGCTCGCAATTTGACCGAAACCTTAATAAACATTGCTGATAAACTTCCATCTTGATTTCTTTCAGCAGTATTTTACAATCGAAACTTTCAACAAACACAAACCATTGCTGTGGTATGATTATGTTTTTACTGTAGTGTTAAACAAATTCCCCATCTGTGCAAGGGCAATATTATCATAGAAATGGGGGTCCGTCAACAATGATAATATTTTCAAGACATGTTGCTATTCACACGACAGATGGGGGGCAGATCTTAGCTCATTTAGCATCAGGGACCAGCTCAACATGATAAAGGGACAATTTCAACAAATAAGTTTCAAATTATAAACATATAAAAGACAGATCCAGCCTTTAATCATGGGGTTGACATTAATCATTTAACATGTCCTCATCATACCACAACAGCACAACCAGAAGAACATATAAAATTTAAGACACATCTTTGAAATGTTCCCTTCCATCACAACAACTTTTTCCTCTGAAAATAAAACTGTCCAAATATGACATTTATTGACTACATATGGATGGCAGTTGGGGTAATTTATTTACACAGAATCAGTAATTACTACCATTCTATTGGCCAGAACATCCATTTTGTCTAATGGAGCAATCGCTAATGTTATTGGTTAAAAAGAAGAACATTTCCATAAAACACATGAACCAAGGTAACTAGGTTAAATTTCTTTTCCTCTTATTAATTTCATTTTGATTCCACATCCTCAATGACAGACATGTGAAGCAGACATGCAATATCCTTTCCCAATTCCTTTCTAGTAATTATTAGTCAAGTGCAACCATGTGGTTTCAACATTTTCACAAAATACAGACCCACACATCTCATTGGCCTCTGAAGAAACAGCCATTTTGATTGGCTGCTTCCCAGGGCTGTTCCATATTGTGAGCTGTGATTGGCTGCCTCCAATGTCCATATGGCTGATGTCAGGTTGTACAGGTGGAGCCAAGGTGGGGCTCCTGCTGCTATGCAATCACATCATGCTAGCTTGTTTACCCAAGCCAGACATACCACTTTTACCTTCAGGTAACTTTCAGAAAAATGTTGAAGTTGTAGCATTTTTTCGCCATCTTGTGGACACCTGTGCTTTGGATTTGCTGATTACAAAGGGAGATAAGCCAGACTGAGATATACGTTCTGCCCCTCGTAACATCCACAAAGTTGAGTGTCTATCAGTGGTATGAGATATTTGGGATAGTAGCGGAGGAAGAACATCAAGTTACAACAAACAATCACCACTTTAAGATAAATGGGGTTCATGTATGACTGTGATATTACTTGCCGACATACACACTTTTCTCCGACTTTAGGTGAATGCTTTCATCTCGTGTTGTTGTGCGTATTTAGAATCACAGCTTGTCACTCCTTACCATATCAACACGATATCATAGATAATGCTATGGAAAAGTCTAAAAGATGTGCAGATAAACATACTATGATTTATATCATACAAAAGGCTTGGATAAATAGAAAACTGGGTGTTATCTCTTCCCCATATATATCTCCCATTTATCAATATTACACCAGTGCAAGTAACTAAGACATCCAGGTTCTTGGGAAATAAACACATGATATTTCAGAGCAGGATACTTCAGGTCAACATTATATGCCACCATTGATTCTTTATGCCCTTTCAAACATGAGAATGTTTCAATCATGTTTATTAACCAAAATATGGCAAATTAATTCTAATAACTAGTTGGACTAGAGGTGGTCATACCCTGGATTTACTGTGATGGTTTTGACCACTCTAATTATACAGTTGCTGTTGATACCTTTATGTCCAGATGTGACCACCTCAGCTTTCAACAATGACTGTATTTTCTAGCTTGAATTCGTGGTCAGAAGTTTGGGAAAGTGTGATGTATTATTGTGAAGAACTTGACAACAACAAAAATAGCTAGCTCCAAAGAAGGCCCCATCTGGATATCCTGAAGAAGGCTAGCACCAAAGGTCCCATCTGGATGCCCCAAAGTAGGCTAGCGCCAAAGAAGGTCCAATCTGGATGCCCCAAAGTAGGCTAGCTCCAAAGAAGGACCCATCTGGATATCCCGAAGAATGCTAGCACCTAAGAAGGCCCCATCTGGATGCCCCAACGTAGGCTAGCTCCAAAGAATGCCCTATCTGGATAACCCAGTTCCAGTGAAGGCCCTGATTAGAGGTCCTAACCTACTCTGGATCCAAAGGCACCAAATGGATTGTTTTCAACTAGGCTAGCTACATAGAAGACCTTATGGGGTTATCCTGAATGCGGATAGCTCCAGAGACACCATGGTTCATAAGATGTTATCCAGCTTAACATGTGAGAAAGTACATGAATTATCTAAGGTTGTCATTGAAAGCCTTACCTTGATGTCTCGGACTGGTCCCTTGTGACCTTGCAGAGCTCTGACACATGTCATTGTTGACAAATCCCATTCCTTCACACAGTGGTCACTGCAGAACAGATGAATACATTTCAAATGTTAGCATTAGTTAAATAGTGTGTTCCACCTAAAGGTGACCTGGAAATACATTTCTAAACAGTTATTGTTCAGAAGATCCCTGTCCAGGTTTAGCTCAACTTGTATGTGTGCAAATATTTATATGATTTATAGAGCACCTATTTCCAAAAGATATTGCTCAATGGCGCTATAAAGAGAACAGATTGTAGACAATGTCTATGGAAAAGAGAGTTTGAAAAGATGAGTTTTGAGGGCAGTTTTGAAAGCGTCAGCAGATTCTATTTCTTTTAGGGCGAGTGGTAGAATGTTCCAGAGATAGGGGGCTGCAGCAGAGAACGCTCTTGATATAATATAAGTAACAAAATGACATGATTAAAGAATATTAAGTGAACTCATAGGGTATCATAATAGGGTTCAATATAGAATTACAACACAGTCTGATATAGAAGGACAATATATTTTGACAGGGCATGGCAACAGGATTTAAAAGGGCATGGTAATAGGGTCTGATTAAATATGTCAATAGATACTGAGGTGGCACAAGTATAAGATCTGATTTGATATGTAGATGTGATCTGATTGAGTATGACAATATGACTTAATACAGGGGTGGAAATAAGTTTAAAATTGCTAGTGTACACCTGTACAGTGGCACATGTAAAATCACTTGCCCTGATAATTTGTCCACTATACCGGACGTTTTCTTGTTGATTTTTTAAATAAACAACATAATTAACATTGGAAAGTCAACTGGACACCAGTACAGTGTGATATACAAATTTGCTTGCCCGACAGAAAAAACACACTGGACTCGGGCGTCGGGCAATGGGTTATTTCCATCGCTGCTTAATAGGGCATGAAAATATCAACTGACCCATCATGTCATTAGCTCTTGCTGGCATGACAATATGATCTGATAGTCATCACAGGGCATGACAATATGATCTGATAGCAGGGCTCCAGATAAGGGCCGTATCGACGTATGTACGGATAAAAAATATGCACGATACGGTAGGAAATAATTTAAAAAATGTAGCAGATACACACCACAGCAATGGTGTACTGGTCTTAGAATCATTTACAGACGTATTTATCTGAACGAGTATTGTTTTATTGTTCATTGACCTGTTTACACAAGAGTAGCAATGTTGTGGTGCATATATGAAACGATACACAAGATTACTGATGCTCCATTAATTTCCATTCAGTACTCTAAATGTACTCCTACGGTATTCCAGTACTCCTTCACGCCGAAGAACCGGGTTCGAATCCCCACATGGGCACAATGTGTGAAGCCCATTTCTGGTGTCCCCCGCCGTGATGTTGCTGGAATATTGCTAAAAGCGGCGTAAAACCAAACTCAGTCAGTCAGTCCAGTACTCCTATATTGAAAAAGTAAGGAGTACGTACTCCTGATGTTGAAAAATTATCTGGAGCACGACAACATGTCCTGAATGGACATGAAATGTAACAAACAGCAAGTGATGACCAAATTGCTTAACACAGAATACATATAACGATGACATCAGCTCTCAACAACCACTGACTGAGAAAACAATCCAGCTCATACACTTACTTTCCACATCAATATCATGTTAATTAACAAAATACTATAATAAGAAATATTGCCTGTCCAAATGTTGAATTATAAGCAAGTCATTAACAGTAAGAACTGTTCATAAAACCAAATACACCAAAGGAACCTCGCTCTGATACACAGAAGAAATAGGATTTCTTACACAGTAGCAGCCAGTCATTGATTGAGTAAATATGGAGAGCATGATTACAATGAAAATACAGCATCCCAAACTACCAAGCTGCTTATACAATGGCAAGGAATTTACCTGTCAAGTCAACAAGTGGTTACCATTTAGTAAATGATGTCGTACCACCACAGGGGGGAACTGGTTCAAGAAAACAACTTCTACGTACAGAACAGGTGCTTGATTTCAGTTTGAGATGTACCTAATATCTGCATCTCAAGCTTCTGACTGTGATGAATGGAGATGATGCATTCTTGGCATCACAGTCTGCCATGCAGCTCATGTCCACAGTCTACCGTACAGCCCATGTCCACAGTCTACCATACTGCCCATGTCCACAGTCTACCATACAGCCCATGTCACAGTCTACAGTCTACCATACAGCTCATGTCCACAGTCTGCCATGCAGCTCATGTCCACAGTCTACCATACAGCCCATGTCCACAGTCTACCATACAGCCCATGTCCACAGTCTACCATACTGCCCATGTCCACAGTGTACCATACAGCCCATGTCCACAATCTACCATACAGCCCATGTCCACAGTCTACCATACAGCCCATGTCCACAGTCTACCATACAGCCCCTGTCCACAGTCTACCATACAGCTCATGTCCACAGTCTACCATACAGCCCATGTCCACAGTCTACCATGCAGCTCATGTCCACAGTCTACCATAGAGCCCATGTCCACTGTCTACCATACACCTCATGTCCACAGTCTACCATACAGCCCATGAGCCCATGTCCACAGTCTACCATACCATGTCCACCCAGACCATGTCCACAGTCTACCATACAGCCCATGTCCACAGTCTACCATACAGCCCATGTCCACAGTCTACCATACAGCCCATGTCCACAGTCTACCATACAGCTCATGTCCACAGTCCACCATACACCCCATGTCCACAGTCTACCATACACCCCATGTCCACAGTCTCCCATACAGCTCATGTCCACAGTGTACCATACAGCCCATGTCCAGTCTACCATACAGCTCATGTCCACAGTCTACCATACAGCTCATGTCCACAGTCTACCATACAGCCCATGTCCACAGTCTACTATACAGCCCATGTCCACAGTCTACCATACAGCCCATGTCCACTGTCTACCATACAGCCCATGTCCACTGTCTACCATACTGCCCATGTCCACAGTCTACCATACAGCTCATGTCCACAGTCTACCATACAGCCCATGTCCACTGTCTACCATACTGCCCATGTCCACAGTCTACCATACAACCCATGTCCACAGTCTCCCATACTGTCCATGTCCACAGTGTAACACTGTGAGTATTCCATTAACCGTCCAGAATCAACCGTAGATAGATGCTCATGTTGATCACTGGATTGTCTGGTCTAGATTCAATTATGAATGACTGCCGCCATATAGCTGGAATAATAGTGCAATAACAAACAAACAAACATTTAATGTAACCAGCCATTCCAAACTTCAGTGGAGCCAAAAAGAGTAAATTTTGTACTTCTGATAGGTAAAACCCACCCCAGATATAATCATTAACTTAATATAGAAACTGTTGACAAACTTAAAGAGGTTGATTATGAAGTGAATCCTACTAATGATCACACCTGGGCCCAGTTCCACAAAGTGGTTGTAGATAAGGTGATTGTAACTCTCTAACTTAAACATAGCCTTCATTAACAGTCATCACACTACAGTCACTTTGTGAAAGGGGCTCCCCATGATGTAAAGATCTTTCAGCATGTGAAACTTGACTGAAATTCATTCAACTTGTTTTAGCACTCATCTTGATAAGACTTCTCTAGAAATCAACTGCTGATGTAGTTATGTTGTTTGAAAACAACATGAAACCAGTGTAAGATCTATTGATATGTACTGTATGATGCTGACACAAGTCAGTGCCTTCTAATTTCCACCGACTCACTATAATCATAAATGGCTCTTTGAATCTTATTTTGGGATATATTTAACCACTATCTGAAGAGAGTTGAATTAAGTGGTCCAGAATAAGATCAGGTTTAGGAGTATAAATGGTTACTGATTGTATGAGGAGGAGGTAGTGGGCGTAGAGAGGATGAGGAGGGAAGAGGAGTGTGGAGGATTTGTCCTGGGAAATAGGGGAGCATTCTATGATAGGGGTCAGTTTTGAGAGTTGCTGAAGAAAAACCTATGGTGATCAAGAGTCTGTACGGAGGTTGTGACACTGGGGTTATGGTCAAGAGTCACAGATGGAGGTTGTGACACTGGGGTTGTGGACAAGAGTCAACGATGGAGGTTGTGACACAGGGGTTGTGGACAAGAGACACATATGGAGGTTATGACACATGGGTTGTGGTCAAGAGTCACAGATGGAGGTTATGACACTAGGGATGTGGTCAAGAGTCACAGGTGGAAGTTATGACACAGGTGTTATGGTCAAGAGTCACAGATGGAGGTTATGACACAGGGGTTATGGTCAAGAGACACAGATGGAGGTTATGACACTGGGGTTGTGGTCAAGAGACACATATGGAGGTTATGACACTGGGGTTGTGGTCAAGAGACACAGATGGAGGTTATGACACTGGGGTTGTGGTCAAGAGACACATATGGAGGTTATGACACTGGGGTTGTGGTCAAGAGACACATATGGAGGTTATGACACTAGGGTTATGGTCAAGAGACACAGATGGAGGTTATGACACTTGGGTTGTGGTCAAGAGACACATATGGAGGTTATGACACAGGGGTTGTGGTCAAGAGACACATATGGAGGTTATGACACAGGGGTTATGGTCAAGAGTCACAGATGGAGGTTATGACACAGGGGTTATGGTCAAGAGTCACAGATGGAGGTTGTGACACAGGGGTTATGGTCAAGAGTCAACGATGGAGGTTATGACACTGGGGTTGTGGTCAAGAGACACATATGGAGGTTATGACACTAGGGTTGTGGTCAAGAGTCACAGATGGAGGTTATGACACTGGGGTTGTGGTCAAGAGTCACAGATGGAGGTTATGACACTAGGGTTGTGGTCAAGAGTCACAGATGGAGGTTATGACACTAGGGTTGTGGTCAAGAGTCACAGATGGAGGTTATGACACTGGGGTTGTGGTCAAGAGTCACAGATGGAGGCTATGACACTAGGGTTGTGGTCAAGAGACACATATGGAGGTTATGACACTAGGGTTGTGGTCAAGAGTCACAGATGGAGGTTATGACACAGGGGTTATGGTCAAGAGTCACAGATGGAGGTT